CAGGGCAGGAGTGTGGCCCCACGGGGTGGCTGCTGTTATGTCTCCCTCAGGGCAGCACGGCGCCCAGCACAGGGTTTTACACCTACAGACTTGGGTTCCTGTCCCGGCCCCATCACTTCCTAGCTCTGCAAGTCTCCAAGCCTCAGTCTTCCCAGCCAATTAATGGGAATAACAACTATTTTAGGAGATTACTGTGAATATTAAAATGAGAAAATGATTGTAAGGCACTGGGCAGAGTCCTGTCGGTGGTAGATATCCAGGAGAGATTCTTTTCCTGCTCTACTTTCCCGTATCCCTCCATGGGGGATCTGTTTTCATCAGCACTGGGCCACTATCTATCTTGGCATATCCCATCTGAGAAATGCCCTTCCTCCCTTCCTCCATATTTCTTAAGTAACTAAGAACCAGATAAATGTCCCCTCCCTCCCTGTAGATCCTAGAATTGTAAGAAAAGAGCATGAGAAATGGAACCATTTTTAGCCCAAAGCATCCCACTGATTTGACACAATTTTACTATTCGACACTCTGCATCAACAGGACTTTACTTTTCCAGGGAATTCTTGCCCAGAAAGACCAGTTTGTGAAGTTACTTTATTGTTGTTTCGGGAACTTCCTGAAAACCCATAAATTCTAACAGTGGACGACTCAGCTAGCTGTCACCAAGGTAGGAACCCTTTTCTCAGAGAAACAGATCATCTGTTGGGCTTACAGAATGTCTGTTTACTCTCCCAGCTGGCTTCACAACTCTTGCCTTGCTGTATCCACCGGGCCTGAACTGTGATACCACGAATTTTTTTTTTTTTTTTTTTTTTTTTTTGGTACGTGGGCCTCTCACTGTTGTGGCCTCTCCGATTGCAGAGCACAGGCTCCGGACGTGCAGGCTCAGCAGCCATGGCTCATGGGCACAGCCGCTCTGCAGCACATGAGATCTTCCCGGACCGGGGCACGAACCCGTATCCCCTGCATCGGCAGACGGAATCTCAACCACTGCGCCACCAGGGAAGCCCGATACCACGAATTTTACCCATCCCAATCAGCCTTTCCCTTCCCAGAAAGACCTTTTTCGGCTTTTAAGGCCACGCAGCATCCTCTGAGAGCCCACTTTTCCTATTCACATATTCATACCACTTCTTGGCACACCTGTCCTCATCAGTCCCCCTGAGCAAAGCACTCTGTCTGGACAGGTCAAGAAGCCATGCATAGGGGCTTCCCTGGTGGCGCAGTGGTTGAGAGTCCGCCTGCCAATGCAGGGGACACTGGTTCGTGCCCCTGTCCAGGAAGATCCCACGTGCCACAGAGCGGCTGGGCCCGTGAGCCATGGCCGCTGAGCCTGCACGTCCGTAGCCTGTGCTCTGCAACGGGAGAGGCCGCAGCAGTGAGAGGCCCACGTACCGCAAAAAAAACAAAACAAAAAACAAAAAAAAAGAAGTCATGCATAGCCTGGGATCCCCGTGGGGTGAAATACCTCTCCACACCGAGAACACTGGGGAGAATTTAAGGCTCACACCACTGAGTCCTGAGGTTTATGTTGTCAGAAATGCATGATGCCACATAACTTTACTGCTGTGTTTCTGTTTGGGACCTAAGGGACATGCAGGAGGGAATGATGGATGGGTTTCTTGGAACGGTCCTACAGCAAACAGCAAACCCATCATTAGCAGACGGATGACTACAGATGACCCCAATGGCTCCCAAGAACCAGAGCAGGGATTTTATGGTTACAGTGCACACTTGTCAGAAATCACCAAATAAGAGGAGACTGGGGTGGCAATATTTATTTTCTCCACTTTTCAAGTCTCGGAAGATGTTTTTTAAAAGGGAAAACAGACTACAGATCGCTCCTCCCATTCTGCCAGAAACCCCAGGGAAGTTAAGTGGAGAACATCTGTCAAGATCCAGGGACAAAATTCCAAAAACATCTGTCACGCGCAAGTGACAAAAATCCCCGAACAACTATAATGTCTTTCCATATTTGTCTCATTTTACCTGCAATTCAACAGCTCTTTCTAGTGCATCAGCCAGCGCATGCAGTTCATTATGACAGTACACTGAAGGCATGTCCCAGCCATGCTGTTTCACATTTATTTAAAGGACGTCCCAACCAGCAGGTGTGCAGGTTTGTCTATGCAGATGACAGGGCTGTGAGCCACCTGGAGATGGTGGCGTCGGCCCGTCCCCCGTGTTCTGACAGCTTCCTTGGTCGCAGGCTTGCTTGCTCTCAGCTGCAAGGAGAATCTCAGCAATGCTTCCATTTTCAGCTAAAAAACAGAAAGTTCTGACTCAGAATGAACGGAGTGTCCTCTCCTCACCTTGATCATGCCCTGCTCTGCCCTGTGTGAGAGCTGGCATCTTTTCTGATTCAAAATTTGGAAGTATGAAGGGTGGGTTTAGGACAGTTCTCAGCAAGCTGACACCAATGTCAGGGGCATAGGGCCACCAGGAATCCAACAGGGGGCAGGGGATTCTGAATCCCCTACAAGCAGTAGGCCCTCTGTTTCTTGGCATCCTTGGCCCTCCACTAGGCTGCCTCCAGGCCCCCTCTTCCTTCCATACAAGATACAATATTTATTGAGAAACTGCTTTGACTAGGAGAGATGCTTTGACCTCCTGCAGAACTGGGCTTCTAGCTTGAGAGACAAGACAAGCATCTTTGAAATACTTAGTAATGATACAAAGGCCAAAACAAGTGATTCAGAAATAATAGCAGCTGTAGGATTCGGTGGAGAGGAAGATCCATAAGGGTTGACAGGATTAAGAGAGGTTTTCTAGAAGACATCTGACTGGCGGTAAACTTTGTAGAGACCAAAAGCAGGGGAGAGGCCATCCCAGGAGAGACACCCAGAATGAGCCAAGGTGGAAATGAGCAGATGGGGTTTGATGGCTTGGAGAAACATCAAGGTTATCTTGGGCCAGGGAGAGAGAGAGGATGAGACCCAGTCGGAAGAGGAATGCTGTGGAAACAAGCCATCCCTCACTGGAGAAAGCACTTCCTGAAGCAGTCCCCCGCCATTTCTCTCCAGCAGACTCTCTGCCCAGGATCATGGAACATTATATCCACAAGCTGTTACTGGCTTATTGCCTCCTAAAACCTAGGAAAAGGATAGCTGATCTAATTAAGATGAACTTAAGCACTTTATCTTACTGAAGGGACCAAGTTAAAGCACACAAAATACTCTTTATGTATATTCTGACCAAAACAGAATTAGCCTAATGGTACAAACTTGCTCCAAGGCACTCAGATGCAAAAAAAGGTCACAATCCTTCACTTTTCCTAAATCAAATTCATACAGTGAAATAGAATAGAGGGGACAGAAACAGACCCACAGATGTACATTCGATTTATGACCGAGGTGAACTACAGAGCCATAAGGAAAAGATGATCCTTTCCATAATTGGTGCTCGGTCAGTTGAACAGTCATATTTTTAAAAAATGAATCTTAGGCCCTCACACAATATAAAAAAAAGCAATTTCAGGTGGTTATATGCCTGGAAAATCACATAAGAGAATATCCATCTGCGCTTGGAATAGCAAAGATTTCATAAGATAACACCAAAGTACACTGACCATCAAGGAAAAATTTGAGAAAGTGGAATAGATTAGAATTAAGAATTTTTGTTCATGAAATGTCAGCCTTAAGAGACTGAATAAGAACTCACAGAGAGGGAGGTAATATTTTCAATGCATATATCTGATTAGGAAGTTGTATCCAGGATATGTGAAGAACACCTTCAAATCAGTAAGGACCAGACAAACAAAGCAAAGAACAACAAGAAAAAGTTCTGAACAGGCAATTCATTCATTAAGAGGGTAACCAAATGGCCAAGGAATATAGAAAAGTCATGCAAAACCTGCTATTGATTAGGGAAATGCTAACTGAAAGTGTGATGAAATACATCCACCAGAAAGGCTAATATGGAAAAGAGGCCATGCCACATGTGGGCAAGAATGTAGAACAACTGGGACTCACACAGTGCTGGAAGGTGAGCAAACATTACGACCACCTTTGAAAACTATTTGACAGTGTTGACAGGAATAGTCAATAAACAATCTATAATAGGGTTAGAAAAGAATTTTATCTGAGCCAAACTGAGGACTATAGCCCGGGAGACACAGATTCAGTGAAGTACTTGAATTGTGTTCCACCAGACTAAAGAATGGGGGAGGCTTATATAGGCAAAAAAACACAAAGTTACTGAAGTTGTTTGTCAAGAGTTAGGATTGGAGCTGGCAGGAAGTAAGGGTGCTTGTTAAGCAAGGATTACTTAGGGTCCAAAATGGTTGCAATTACAAGGGAAGACCTTGAGGCCATATGGTTGCCACTGGCAGCTGCTAGCAAATACTGTTTTGAGAATGGCTGGTGGTGTCCTTGAGTCTGATACAGTTCAGAAAACTCAGGTTCTCAGTGATACAGGAATGTCTACAAAGACCACCCAGCTCCATTTGGAATGCCTGAACCATAGTTACTCCATTTTGATTTATAACTGCATTCTTCTCTTTAATGGTTAAAGCATATATACAATGCATGTTTAATAGGCCACAAACAGGCTGCTTTGGTTAGCCTAAAATTCAAGTTAAATCATGTATAAGCCTGAATGTCTTCCCCATACCTTAATATGTGAAAATTTTCCGTTAGCACGATTTACTAAAGCTGACCGTACACAAACCCCATGACCCAACCATTCCAATACTCCTGGTATTTACCAAAGAGAAATGCAAATATGTTCACACAAAGATTTACATTCAAATTTTTATCACAGTTTTATTCATAATAACCAAAAACTGGAAACAATCAAATGTCTATCCACAAGAAAAAAATAAGCTAACTGTGATCTGTTTATACAATGGAATGCTACTCAGTAATAAAGAAACTACTGATATATAGAGAGGGAAAGAAATACACATACAATGGTGTAGATGACCCTGTAATGGCAAAGAGAATCCTGGAAATAATCTAAATGTTTATGTTTTTTAAAATAGACGTTTAAATGAAGTATGATACCTCCACTCAAGAGAGTGTTGTGTAACAGTTAAAAGAAATAAAATAAAATTTGATGTGTTGATAAAGAAAGAGTGCCAAGATAAAGGAGCTGGAAAGTTCAGGTTCAGAGCAACATGTATGGCATTTCCCATTTGTGTGTTAAAAATATATAATACATGTGTGGACATTTTCTGGATGGACACCCAAGAAATAGGTAACTATGGTTAGCTCTGGGGAAGGGTCTGGGGCTAAAGTAAAGTGGCCACTGGGCCACCAAAACCAACCTAGCCTGGAGTGAAAGGCCCACTCACATTTCATTGCAGACACTTTGTACTGCTTGAGTTTTTTTTTTTTTTATCACAATCATATTATTTTCTTAGTTTAAAAGATTGAATTAAATGAATTGTAAAATGCTCTGTAATTACCTAAGAAAAGGATACAGTGGTGATCCTCGTCAAATTTAATAATTTGCATCCTAAAATGGGGAGGCTGAAAAATGGCCCTCATAGGTATACAACTTCTAAGCCTGGAGCCTGTGAATGTTACCTTCTATGGCAAAAGTGATAGTTAAGGATCTTGAGATGGGGGTGTTACCTGGATTAACTGAGTGTGCTCCTTATAAGAGAAAGGCAGAGGGAGATTTGACAGAAGCAGGGATTAGAGTGATACACTGTGAAGATAAAGGAGCCACAAGGCCACAAGCAGAGGGACTCTAATTGGCCATTAGAAGCTGAAAGAGGCAAAGAAGCAGATCCTCCCCCAGAGCCCCAGAGGGAGTGTGGTCCTGCCAGCACCTAATTTCAGCCCCCTGAAGCCCATTTCAGACTTCTGGCCTCTAGACCTGTCAGAGAATAAATTTACATCATTTTAAGCCACCAAGTCTGTGGTATAAACAACACTTGTAGGAAATTAACACATAAGATTTTCAAATGCTGGAAAGAAAAAGTCCACTCTTGGTAGACAGGACTAGTTAGCAGAGCCTTGCCACGTAGAGAATCCGAGCATCTCATGTAAACTAAACTCATGAGGCCAGGTTTGCCTGTGTTTCCACGACGAGGATTTTATTTGTATGGCCTATTACCTGCACCGCTGACATTTACTGGACTCTGGGTAGAAAGTTTCAGAATTCAAAGATTGAATTCCTCAGCTGCATACAAATTCTCTGCTCAGAAAACAATCCAGTACATCGATATACACACGCTACAACTCCAGATCAAACTTCTGCCAACGCCTGTGACGGAGTAGATCATTAACAAGTGTGGGTCTAAATGAGGCTATTTTTTCATATCAACTAAAATCACCCGTGGGTTCAGACTGAGACCTCCTCAGTTTATTACCTTTCACTATAAGTTAATGAGAAATAAGTGGCAAAATTTTCAAATCTGTGTGAATTAAGCAGTTGTACCTTCCTGAAATGACTCTTCATTTCATAGAATAGATCCGTTTCAGGAGTGCTAATAATTGTCCAGTGGTGAGAGTAACCCTCATTGATCTTTTACCCTAACATACAGGTATCCAGAGACGCAGTGCCCGCATTTATTCAAAACATTTTCTCAGGTGCAAAGAGGGGGGCGTATAAACGTTCTAGGACTTCCCTCTAAATTTCGTTCATAGATTCAGAGAACCACATGTTAACCTCTCTGTTTTAAAGGTTGAATCTAGGAAGAGGAGAAGCTTAAAAAGTCTCACCTCCAGTGGTGAATTGTCGCCGTTTTCTTGGTGACAAATTTTCAAGTCAAATCTCTCTCTCTCTCTCCCCACCACCAGGTATTTTAGTATTTGAAAATTTCTCCCTAAGGAATGAGGACATATGCGTTTCCAGCACATCCCCTTCTGGAAAAGCTCTGATTTTTATAAAAGGGAAGCATGGAGGTATGTGTTAGGCAGGATTAAAGAGAGAAATTTGCCAAGAAATTCACTCCACCAATAACTCACTTCTGACAACCACCATGAGAATCAGAACACGTGTATGTCGACGATGTTTGTGCTCGAGTTTTATTTTCAATGTGGCTTCCGTACACAGAACAATGCTCCTTCTCCTGTATCCTTTCATCTTCCCAGGTCTTTATTCTTGCCTCCAGCTCAAGACATCAAAACTCACCCTAATCCCCAGACATGGTCACATAATATCACCTGCATTTTCAGGTACCAGTCTCTGACTGCAGACAGGATGGAACTGGATCATTAAAAAAAGAAACAAAACAACAACAAACTTGTATCCTTGGCCCCCAGAAGACTGTCTGCTTAACATGGTCTAAGGAGTATTTGTTGACTCTATTTTTTACAGGGACAGTAGTTCCCTGAACTAGAGGGTTATACAAAGAAAGAGGGGGAGAAGGAAGAAGAGGAGGAACTGAGCTGGGGAGAAAGCTGTTGACCCAAGACACCTTCCCGGGAGAGGCTTTCAGAATAATCACGACCCTCTGATCTCGCTCTTGCTGGTCACCCCACCTCTCCCACTCACTCACATCCACACAGACAGTTCTCCCCTACTATAGACTCAAAGAAACCATTTCAGTGCCTCTTCCAAGATCAGTCTTTTTTAAATCCTATTTTCCCCCAAAGATTTTCTTTTTCTTTCCTTTTCCCACTGCTGGCTTCTTTGTTTATGCAAGTTTTTCTAATGATGATGGTAATCATGCCTATCATTTATTAAGCTCCTGTTATATACTAGTATCCACACTAGAATGCAGTCTCTTTCCACCCTGCAGCATGGGAGACAAACTAGGCTCATTTTTGCATCTGAGAAAACTGAGATTCATAGGGTTCCATTTGCCCAAGGTCAGAGTGTTTGCAATCAAAAGGCCAGCACTTGTCCTCTCCTGAAAACAAGAGCCCTTGGTGCTCCTGCACCCCAGGAGATGAACAGCAGCACAGAACAGCTTTGATGAAAAAGTTTACAGAGTTGTGAGGCCCATTGATTTTTTAACTGCTTGTAAGTTGACTCTTGAATTCACACTAAACTTCCTACAAATTACGAAGCTATAGTCAAATTCAAGATAGGAAAGGAAGGGGAGGGGAGGGGGAGGAAAGTGTAGGGTAATTGTTATTTTAAACCTAGGGAAATCCTATAAATGCCCTGAGTTTCTACCCACCTTCCTCTAAAACGGATCGCTAATTCTGATGATTATTCCTCCAAACGAACTGAATAAAAGGAGAATCATCCTGTTGTAGGTTTTCCCCTTGACTTTGCATCTCTGGAGCAGAGGCTGTCAAACTGGCAGAGGATCTATTTTTTATGGCTCATTGAGCGTGGGGCAAATGGACTCCCGCAAAGGGTAGCAGTAAATCCAGCCATGGCCAGCCTCCAACTACATTCGATAACAGCCAGGATGTTAATGGGAGTGGTGGAAGACTCCAGAAAGAGCAAAGAGGCTCTATCCGATTCTGGCCCCGACCTCTAACGGCCAGTGCCGAAAAGATAAAATAACTCTCTGATATGCGAAGTTCATGATCTATCACCTTTTTTTTCATAGTCACAGAATGAAAAAACCTGCTTTGAAGAAATTGTGTTTTATTGGGTTTAGGAGGTGGGTTTATGAAATAAATAACGCAGCAATCATAAGCAAAATACTAAGATACAAGCCCTAGAGAAGCTCCAATGGGCCAAGTGAAAGCTGTGACTCAAAGAGAGCAGAGGGATAGTTTGTCATGTAGATTTAAGCAATCTATCCACATGTGCCCCCTCAATCAGGCCACATAGAAGATTATTAAGGGCACTGGTGAGCCAGCAGTAGGAGGATAAAGCAACGTTGACGACGTTTTCTCAAGGCCAGCTTTGGAAAACAATTGTAAATTGAGAACATGATATAATCACTAACATAGTAAAGCACTTTACGGTTCATGAGTTATCTTCACGTGCAGTACAAATTCAGTTGATCTAATATTTACGATTTCTGAAACATTCAGCTGCTAAGGCCCTGTTCTGATACACACCAACTAAGGCATGGTCCTCCTAGGACACACTGACCAAGGATTCAGGCACAGGTGGTTCACTGAGGCGAGATGCCCATCATGGGGTGGGCGGAGCCAATCAGGGAGCCTCAGAAGCCAAGCAAAGGTGCAATTTCAGGTGGAGTCCCAGACTCCACCTAATTCCAAGGGGGGCTCTGAAGTGCACGTTGTACCTTGGGGTTTGTCCCACCGATCAGCAAAGGAGGCTGGCTTTTGTACTAGGACCCATCCTTGTGGGAGGTGGGGGTGACTTAAACATCCAGGCATTTCAGTCTCTGTTTAAGGACAAGAGAGGATAGGGGCCCGGGGCAGTCATCTGAAGGTCACAGATAAGCCTTAGCTGTGAAATGCCAGGTTGCTGATGATGGGCTCACAGAGCTCAGGAAAAGGGTCCTCTCTCCTGAAGAACTCCTGCTCATCCTTCAAAACCCTGTCCAGGGGTTAGTGGCACATTCTCTGATTACTGGTTAACCAAGTGGAGAGCCTCTTCTTTTATGCTCTTCTTTCACCTGGAAGGAGTATCCTTCTAGAATAACACTCCTCATCACAATTCTAGTGACTCTTTCCCATGAGCCAACAGGACTCCCTGTTAGTAAGTTTGATCCTAGGGAACAGATATTAATGAATCTCTCCATGACCCTAATTATCCCCAGGGAGAAAATGGGGAAAAGCTAGCCCACTGGTTGTGAGTTACTAATGTAGCGCTAAATGGCTTCCAGCTATAGGAAAGTTTGTTTGCCAAGTCATTCTTCTGAAGATACAGAAGGGAACATAGGAGTTCCCTTCCTAAGTTTTCTTTTCCTAAGAAAACTTTATTTCACATAACAAAGACCTTTCTTCAGAGAATAACACATTGTTCATCAAGAATCTCATAGAATTTCTCAAAAACCTGGGCTTTTCTTATTTTCCTAGGTAATTATGGAGTGATCGTATCCATTGTGGAGATACTCTAGGGATGAAGGGGTTTTCTGCAGCATATAAAATACTGAAGATTAAAGCAATGTCATGGTCAAGAAGATTCTCCCACTTTCACCCCACATTTAGGTGCTCATTCTACTGATGTTCAAAGTAGAAACACATTTAGCAAATAGCTCAGGTCTTTGAAGAAGTTCTCTTTTCAGTTTCTTCAGAAAGTTCACAGATGTGTTTTACAAGGCACGTAGGGGAAAAGGAGATCAATTCTACTGCTGAGAGAGAATCTGGGTCAATTTTATAGATTCACACCTGCATGAAATCCACATAGGGACAAAATCTGGAAGATACTGGTTAAAGGAAAAATCACGCCAAGTAACAAAATAAGTTAAATTGCTATATGTTTACAGTTCCATAAATGGAAAATATCCTGGGTCTTTACCAAAATCAATTTCTTTGGTGCCTTACAGAAGCTTTCATGGGATTCTAGTAGTATTTTTTTTAAAAAAATCGTACACAACACTATTCCTCAGGAAAGAAAATAAAGACTGGTGGCCAAATTTTCCATCAATCAATTTTACTTGAACAAGCTGTTTCATTCAATTCACACTGATTAACCTTGGTCCAGTCACTGAAAACTTTGTGGTTCTGGGATATGGGTTTTAATTGTCTTCATAAAGTACATGGAAGGTCACTGGGGAAATTGAACACAAAAATTTTCCACATGATGGGGACAAAATAGGGAATCTGAGCAGCCTGGACCTCAGGAACCTTGATCTCCAACTGACCTCCGTGCTTTGTTTCTAAGAGTGTGTTTCTCACTATTTTCTTTTTCTGTCAATATTTATGTAGATGTCAGCTATATTCTTAACTACAAATACTGCTAAATTTTTAATTTAGTGATAAATACTGCTTTTCCCTAGGATTCTAACACAGGAACAAAATTTCAGTCAGAATTCTGATATTCTGTATCCTCTATTTGCATCGAGGATGGCATCGTCTATAAAATGTAAAGGGGTACAAAAAACTCAGTCATCAAGATAAATAATGTCAATGCAATCTTTTAAAAATAAAAATGGAACTGGAAGAAAAGAACTCGGGATGAATAAAATATTAAAATTTTAACAACTTAGCCCCATTGCCTCATCCTAGTCCCGACCCAAATAGGTCAGTAGTGCTTCTGGGAACATAGTAAGATGTGCTTCCTGGCTCCCACGTGGATGTGGGTGGGCAGGGTGACTGGCTCTGATAAAAAGTTCTGAACAGAAGTGGCAAGTGTCACCTCAAGACCTTCCTGGGTGCTTTTTTCTCTCCCTCACAGCTAATGGGACTTTTCCATAGTAGCAATGCTGTGTTGCCAGGTCCCTGAATGACTACGTTGAGTAGAACTTCCCTCCAAACCCACAACAGACATGTAGCACGAGAGAGGACTAAACTTTTGTGATTTCAGTATTCTGGGGGATGTTTGTCACAGCAGCTAACCAAGCCTCTCCTGACAGACAAAGATTATCAGCCAGGCTCTCACTACGGGAATCCACACTTTTTTCAGGTGAAAGAAACAAAACTGTCCTTAACATCCAGTTTTCCACCTGAAACTCCTTCTTGCCTTCAAACAGCCAACTGCTTCTTCTCTCCTTCCCGACTTTCCTATAGATTTTATTCTTAAGGCTGAAGTCTTTGTAGATGGACAGACACAGATTTGAAAAAAGCTTACAAAAAAATAAAAAAATTTTAAAAAATAAAAAAAACTTACAGATCTCCATATCATCCCCACCTCAGGAGATCAAGGACCCAGCAGTTGCATTTTAGCCAAGGTCCTGGGTTTTGCAGAGGACCCTTTCCTTAAGAAGCCCTGGGTTCTTGCTGTATCTGTGAATATACTTACTTTGTTAAGAATAACCCTGAGAGGAGAATCAATTTCAAGTCAGTCTGCAAAAAGCTAAAAAAGTAGAAGGAAAAAACAATGTGGCTTTGGAAAACAAAAGAGTTCTGCCAGGGTATCATCCCTTACTAATCTTACTGTATTTAAAGTAAAGGTAGATTAAAAATTTCTGAGATTAGCAAAGTGTGGCTTAGTGGGGTAAAAATTCACATTCTTACTAAGAAACCCATGAAACATGCCCACACAACAAATAGGTCGGTACCCAACTATTTGGAGCATCATGCTGGTACAAAATTACCTCTTTTCAGTGAGGAGAATGAACATTCCAATGAATCTGAGCAGCAAAGGGGCATCCCAGAATCTGTGGACTTTCCTTATTGAGTGTCACACGAATCTTATTCTAACATGCGTAATCAAGCTCTTACCTTCATTCTAACAAACACACCTTGAATATATAAAGAGGATAAGAACTATCTACTTGGACTCACCATAATAATCAGTACATGTTGAGGCATGGGGGCAGCAAACTGGGAAGAGGGGGTATGAGAATAAGAGTTAGTTGGGTATCGAAAATGTGGGACCAGAGACACCAATGTAAGTGACAGAGAAGTGCTATTGAAGGAAGAGAAGAAAGCTTGATTTTCTTGTCGTTAGCTTGGAGTCATCACATTTCATCTGCCATTTCAGTCAAGACTGACTGCAGGAGACTCCTCTCCATGACCTCAGATATCCTACTTGTAGAGACTTTTCTTACAACGTATAACTCAGGAGTACAGAGTTCAGAGACATTTTGGACTTAGAAGAACTACTTTTTTCTCAGAGAAAAAAGAGGCCCCATTATCCGTGCCCACTCCCTTGAGAACCTGCTCTGCGTACCCCTGGGCATTCCTTCAATTCTCCTTCTTCAGAGCATCAATCTACCAATGTGCTCAATCGTCTACTGAGAGCCTACCAGGAGCCCCCAAGGGACCTCACTAAATAAAACACCTTCCTTCTCAGCCCACAGAATGGAGATCATGACTTTCAGCATTTTGCATCCACCTGGGCATTTGCTATAATATTGTTTGCTTACTATAAGAACAACAGTGTATGACTGGGGACCTACTCAGATGCACAAATATGAACAATTCCTCGCAGGAGGGTCTGCGGAGGACTCAAACTCATACTGTTTACATTGTAGTCTGGGGGACCAGGTTGGCATGCTAACACATTTTCTATGCAGCTCAAGGGCATTGAGGCACCTCTATGGTCCAGGGGGTGGCCCACAGTGGGTAATTGTACATGAGGGACTGAAAAGCTTCAGAAAAAGAACTCAGGCTTATGGAAGAGAGGACCAAGGTGCAAAGGCTGGATTTATGG